AACACATTTAGTTAGTGACAAATATTTTGTTGGAATTTGCTGAAAGTTAATTTGCTATTTTCCTAATACAAGAATATTTCTTGTAGGACTGGCTAGTGCCAGTCTACAGAACAAGGTGCAACTCATGAGATTTAAGATATTGCAAATACAAAGAAAACTAAACTCTTCCCAGAAAGCTTTGTTTACCTCCCCCCCCCATAATTTCTTGCTTGTTGTGGGGGGGAGGGGTTCAAGAGAGGGAGACTGAGGCCTTACCCTGAGCCTCTGCCCTTGCCTCAAGTAATTTTTAAGTCTTTTCTTCCCCTTCGCATTTCCCCCAACCTCTTGCCCGTTGTTGTGGGTGAAGCTTAGGAGGCAGAGACTAGAACCCAATGCTGGGGAACTCCCCAACCTTGTAACTCAGCCCTAGACTCAACTAATTTTGCATGGTCTTTTTTCCCCTCCTTTTTCGTTTGTCCCCCAACCCCTTTTACTATCCACTCCTTAAGGTGTGAGAGCGAGAGCCGTGCTGAAAGGATGAAAGGCTGAATTTATGCCAGTCCTGAACGGCCTGAGGGAACCATGGACACGATATTCCCCTGCTTTAGTTGCCTAGCCCCTAGTCAACACTCAATCACCAGGAGACCTATCTACTCTCCCAGCATGCTCAACTTCAACACCTACCCCCATCAACTACCCCACCCTCCCTTATCAATACTTTACAGCCTTATTATCCACTTCTCCATAACACTACCTCCCTCAACACTTCTCCCTCTTTCACACACCCGTGCTTCTACTACCCCCATCTCTACAAAAATCTTAAATACTCTATTTAGCCCAGCCAAATAGGACCGATTTTTTGTGATCCCTCCCACTGTTCCCTACTCTGACAACACCCTTCTTTTCCAGCAATGTCTCCAAAAACAAGTAGGCAAAATCTCTCCGTAGCCGACCCGACCCTTCCCGTCTCGTCACTGGAACATTTGAAAATCAAGCTATAGCATTATCAAATCTTACTGATCTCTGTGATAACCCCATCCCTGCAGAACCCCATCCAACCCTCAATACTTGCACCGGAACTGTATCTTCCCAGCAAATTGACCTATCTATAACAAAAATTGGTCAGATTCTGGAGAAGACTTACTCGCCTGTCTCACGAACTATGATGCGATATCAATAAGAATCGTAAGAACCCCACTAACATTGCCAAAATTACTTTCCGTAGACATGACCTTCCATTTAATGTTTACATCGATGGAGAATCCCTCCTTGTCCAACCATATCAACCTCTTCATCAGTGCCAGAATTGTCGGCGTTTAGGACATCCTGCCAAACATTGTCGTTCCACAACCAGATGCCCTCTATGTGCCCAACCTGGCCATAACCAAACTGCTCTGCACAATCACACACATGTGCCAACTGTGGCGGCCCCCCATAATGTATTTTATAGGGGGCTGCCCCACCAAATTTGAGTGAGGTAGCAACTCTCAGATTCAAACTTGGACTCATTCTACGTGAAGCCAGACAGGGAGCACGTAGACGAGGTTTTTCTCTTACTCCCTACTCCAGTAATGTCGCTCACTCTGCCACTCGCCCTACCTCCCAGGCTCCTACACCCTCCCACTACCTCCCAAGCTCCTACACCCTCCCCTAAACCTATCCCTCCTCCATCTAACTTCCCTTCTTCTACCTCCTACCTTCCCCAGTCAAATTCTTTTGCCATCCTAAATCCAGACACTCCAATTTCTACTACAGCCGCAACACCTTCCCCTCTCCCTCCCCACACTACCCGCAACAGACAGACTAAACGTTCCACCCCCTCTTCCCCTACCACAGAATCACCTCCACCTTCCTTTGCCCCTACTCTTCAGACACCAGTCTCCTCTCCCTTCCCCCTCACATGAAAACCTTTGTCTTACAAAGCTCTCCAACCAACTCCATAACAGAAACTCTTGAAAATATTCAAAACTATCTATTCGAGTGACTGCCGATATCCATCCTCCTATTCATATCCCCACTACACCCTTTCCTCCTAAAACCTCCCAACACAGCAAATTCCCCCCGACTCCAGCTCCACCTACATTAACCCTCCCGCCATCCCCTCTTTCCCTTCCACTCCCTCCTGAATCCCTTGTATCACAACTATCCCCTTCCCCAGACCCTCCACCTAATACGCCTCCTGATACAACACCCCCCCCCCTCTCATTCCTTATCCCACCCTCTAGCTCCTTTCCCTTCAAATTCTCCAATACGTACTGCAACCATTATCACTCATAAATCAACGAAAGTATAACTATTCTTCATTGGAATATTCGTGGTTTCCGTTCTCACAGACCCGACCTTCGTCATATCTTTTCCTCTTATAATCCATCCATTTTATATCTTCAAGAGACCAATTTATCTCTTTCCCACACTCCCTTTATGTGTCATCTATACTTATCAATCAGAAAACACCTTATGTTATACCTCCCTTTCAAACCACTGTCCCTTGCACAGTTATTCGCATCTTTCTTCGCCGCTGGATCACAGTGATTTCATTCTACTTCTCCCCTTCCCACCCCATTGACACTGTTGCTTTTGAAAATCTAATTTCCCAACTCCAACCACCTTTCCTCATAGTTGGTGATTTTAACTGCCACCACATTCTTCTATTACCAACACTACCTAGAGCGCTTCCTCTCCACAGTTGACCTTATTATTCTTAATTCAGATCGCTCCACACACTTTGATACACGCACGCAATCTTTTTCATGTATTGACCTCTCTCTATGGTCCCCTTCTCTTCATTTAGATTTCCATTGGTCAGTTCTAGACCATTTTCCAGTTCTCCTTTCTCCTACCTCATATGTACCACATCCTAACTCCCCACGTTGGTGCTTTGATAGAGCCGACTGGTGTACTTTAACTTCACACTCTGCTATTCATATCCCTCCATTCTTCCTCTCATCCATTTCAGATACAAAGTTTCACAACTACAGTCCTAAGAGCTGCCCATACAGCTATTCCTCGAACCTCAAGACCCTATACCTCCAAATGTGTTCCATGGTGGAATTCTGATTGCACTAAAGCGCCTCGCTTAAAACTCACAGCCAAGAACAGTTACCGCTACATACGAGGTACCCCTAATCAACTGTCAGCCCTTATCTCCTTTAAAAGAGCATCCGCCTGTCTTCGTCGTACAATCCAGAATAGTAAGACAAATAGCTGGCAAAATTATGTTCCCTCAATTACATCCTCTACACCTATCTCAAATGTTTGGCGACGGATCCATAAACTATTAGGCATCCCCCCCCCCCATCCAGCCCCCGTCCTCCATATTCGAGATACCCTCATCTCTGGTCCTATCCAAGTCGCTAATGAACTGGGTGACAATTTCAGCAGGTCAGTAGTGGTTCTCACTTTTCTCCACACTTCTCTTCGATTAAGACCATCAGGAACACACCCCCATTATTTTCACCCTATCCTCCACTGAGTCCTATAATGCTCCTTTTTCTTCCTCTGAACTCAGTGCTACCTTACAATCGTGCCGCAACACTCATGAAAGCCCTGACGATTTTCACTACCGTATGCTCCGGCAACTCCCATCTTCCTCCTTATCCTTCCTATTAACCACATATGGACATCAGGAAATTTTCCTTCTCATTAGCGAGAAGCTCTTATCCTCCCCTTCCTGAAACCCAATAAATCGGGAACCTTCCCTCAAGACTATCGCCCCTATCTAATCAGCTGCTTGTGCAAACTACTAGAGTGAACTTCTGCTTAATGTGGTATCTTGAATCTCACAATCTTCTTTCTCCTTCCCAGTTTGGTTTCCGCCGTGCCCGAATCACAGCTAACCCCCTTGCTCATTTTGAGACATATATTACATCTGCATTTGCACGCCATGGATCCGTACTAGCTATATTCTTTGACTTAGAAAAAGCATATGATACTACATGGCGGCACCATATTCTCCAACAATTGTACCCTCTCGGCATACACGGAAACATGGGTGTCTTTATAAAGTCTTTCCACTCCCAACGCACTCTCCAGGTCAAAATTGCCTCTGCCACATTATCCTTCTTTCCTCAATTTGAAAGCGTCCCACAAGGCAGTGTGCTCAGTACCACTTTATTCCTTCTTTCTATTAATGGCTTTGTCTCAGTTCTACCACCAGGAGCCCGGTCATCACTATATGTTGATGATTTCACCATCTATGCCTCTGGCACATCCATACCAAATCTCTGCCACTTTCTTCAGTCTGCAATATCATCAGTATCTTCCTGGGCCACAAACCATGGCTTCCGCTTTTCTACCTCTAAATCTTTCTCCATCCTTTTCTCTCGTATAGGTGTAGGTCTCCTACCTCCACTTTTCTTATATAGCACTCCCTTCCAATACCGTTCCTCTGGCAAATTCCTAGGTATTATTTTTGACTCCAAACTGTCCTGTCCTGGCGAGACCATATCTTTACAATAAAGAAAAAGCTCGCCGCCGTCTCCGAATCTTGCAAACTCTATCCCATATATCCTGGGGCTCAGTTCGCAAAACTCTCCTTCATCTTCATGTTACCTTGATCATCTCCACTCTCGATTATGGATGCCAAATCTACTCTGTCTCAACTTCTCTACTTGCCCATCTTGATACAATCCACCACTGTGGTCTTCGCTTAGCCCTAGGTGCCTACCGCTCCTCTCCAGTTGAGAGCCTGTACACTGAATCAGGCATACCATCTCTCTCTCGACGCCGTGCCCTTTTCTCTCTCCGATGTTATGTTCGATTCCACCAACTTCCCCTCACTAAACTAGCTATCCCCTGATCCCTACTTCCTACCTTTGCTTCTTCTCCACGTTTACCTACTCCTTTCTCCACTCGCATGGATACCCTCCTCTCCCATTCCCCTTTTTCCCATCTCCGACCTCTCCCGTTTTCTGTCCATTCTGTCCCTTCGTGGCTTAAACCCCGTATTTGCTCCTCTGTTTTCCCTGACCCCCCAAAATTAAATGTTCCTCCTGCATTCCTTCTCACCCATTTCCTTGACC